CAGATACTAAATTTGAACAGCGTAATGAAAAGACGAAGATTATCTGAGACATATGTGGTGTATAAGCACTATACATTTCGAACAGTCTGATCACACATGGATTTGTCGAACTATTTATGTGAAAACTTACGAAAAAGGTCAATGAAGTTAATCGGAAACATAGGAATAGGAAGGGAGAGAAAAGGAAAAAGACTTTTAAGGGAGTTATGGGGATTTGAAAATATTTCAAGTTGTTATTCATCGTAGACTGACATCAGTTGGAGGAACAAAGGAAACCTGGGAGCACTGGACGGCTGTTTCGTCCTATTATGGGACTTCTCAGCAGTGAGCACCCACGACTCCGCCAGGGACCGAACCCGCGACCTTCAGGTTCCAATGAGAAGCTGTGACCGGTGGGGTAAAGACCGATGGTCGTCAGGACAGTTACTCAAAGATGATATTGGGTGGCGGTTGCGCTATATCGTGAGCTAAGAGAAGTTGGAAATGTGGACCATTGGATTCCGAACCAGTAGCTCAATGGTAACATGCTGGTCACGGAACCTGAAGGTCGCGGGTTCCGTCCCGAGCGGGGTCGTGGGTGCTCACTGCCGAGGAGTCCCATACTAGGACGAAACAGCTGTCCAGTGCTCCCAGGTTTCCTTTGTTCCTCTAACTGACGTCAGTCTAAGATGGATAACATCTTGAAGGAAAAAGATGTTACTTTTGGTATGAAAATTAAAAATCAATACTACCAAGGTAGGTTCAACGTGAGTACAAATTGTTTTTGTATAAATAAAGGGGGTTTGAATATACGGATAGCAACAGCTTCAATAAATTTAAGCACTCGGCTCTGATCACTTTTGTGTAGTACTTTAAAGGCTGTTTTCACATTTATCCTACGGTTAGTTTCTAGTATATGTTTAGCGATAGACGAAGATGGATGTTTGTCACCTGCACTTATCGGATCTGTTGAGGTCATTTGTTTTTATAGCCACTTAGGTATATGTTTCATCACATGTTCCAGATAATATTCGTCGTCTCATTACGCTGTTTAAATTTATCAAAGGGAACAGCTGCTTAAATTTTCAAACAGATACTAGAGGTGGTTTACGAAATCAGAGCTAAACTATATCAGTAGTAGAAATCAGTTAGCCCTAAGCTATGAGCAAGAAACTGAATTATTTACTCACCGACTGCTCTCTACATTTGTCTGAACTGGGTAACATCAACAAAGTACTTAGTCCAGTGTAATCAACTCACTTCTTCACTCTAAAGTATGTATCATACAGTTTTCTCTTGTAGGTGCTAATTAACTACTCAAATAAATAAAACAAGATAAAAATAAATTTTCAATCATTCCAATTTAAATTACTCTCGTTTTCTTATCAATTTAGTGAAGTTCCAAGGTGAATAACACACAGAGAAGTCAAGAACAATTCAACTCACACATCACTAAATATAAGTAAATAAAATCATAATTATTTAGTATAGGTTTACTGTAGTTTAGAGTACTTTTTTCACTGAAGTTTCTCATTATACATTCGAAAAAGACAGATTTCTACAAAAAAGATGTTCTAAACATTCTTTTTCGTTCGATAACTAATAAAAGATGATAGAGAAGTCTCACCAATTTCATTGCGAAAATCTATACAATTGAAATTCCAAAGTCAAAAAACGAATCTTATTCAAAGTGCTTCGGATGTCTTTCTCAGCAATACATTTATATATAAACAATCATTTGTTTCTGTAGGTAATATTGCGAGTTGACGGTTGTGATTTTGACCTGAAGACAGGTGTTCAAGGTGAGTGAGTTTCACTTCATTACAAATTGTAATGATATTTCATCATCCACAAAACGTGTTTAAAACAATTAGTTCCCTTTATAAACTTCGACAAAACAATAAGAAGACGTAAATTGTCTGAACCGTGTAATGTATTTGTGCAACACATTTCGAACTATCTGATCACACACGTACTTGTCATAGGTATTTATATAAAAACTCATGAAGATAAGGGGTGAGAAAATAAAAAGGGGGTCAGGTAGGAAGGCTGACTTAAAGGCCGAATAACAATGAAAATCAATAGAGCGAAAAAATAATAGTACATCGAACTTGGTTTTTCAATAGTTGAATTTACCAAGGAAGGTTTAATGTGACAACAAATTGTTTATGAATACATAAAGGTGGTTTCAACTTCCTAATAGCTAAGGCTTCAACAAATTTCAGGATCCCTCCCCAACATGTTTTGTAAATAGGTGTAAAGGAAGTAGCCACATCAATCTTGTGACCTGTCTCAACGATATGTTTAGCGATCGAAGAACTTGGACGTCTGCTACCAACATTTATAGGTTCAGGTGATTTAATTTGCTTCTGAAGCCACTTTGGAATATGTTCCGAGGCCCTTACTTGCATGGATCTATTAGTCCTCCCTATGTATGTGTCACCACACGTACATTTGAATTGGTAGATACAATGGGATGTGACATTATCGTTCACATGCTGTGGGGGTTTGGGGGAATATAAGGGCTTCGTGGTTTCGATTACTCGAACCCTGGCTGCATAGTAAGTCCTTCTAACAGCAGCGTTGAGTCTCTGCTTAAGGATTGCACTCTGAGAGTCACCTTTGTACGGAAGGCTGATGAAGACATCCTTCTTTGGGACTGACTGCAGTTCTAGTTTTGACGCTCTGCTGATTTTGTTCTGCCTGATAAATGTTGATGGATAGTTATTTTCCAACAAAATATCGGTCAGTGTTCCTCTTTCATCTTCTAAAGTATCCTCTGTGCATATTCGTTGAATTCTGCTGAATAGGCACCTTACTAACGTTCGATGTACTATTATTTTTTCGCTCTATTGATTTTCATTGTTATTCGGCCTTTAAGTCAGCCTTCCTACCTGACCCCCTTTTTATTTTCTCACCCCTTATCTTCATGAGTTTTTATATAAATACCTATGACAAGTACGTGTTTGATCAGATAGTTCGAAATGTGTTGCACAAATACATTACACGGTTCAGACAATTTACGTCTTCTTATTGTTTTGTCGAAATTGTGTTTAGTTATGATAAACTAACAGTAGAATATCACTCATTCATGATAAATAACTTTAAAAAATAATACTCGTGAAATACATATGAAGAATGCAAAACATTGGCAATAAAAATTTCACGTTTGAACTTTAGACGTTCACATATCAGAATTGATGCTTTGTGCTAATGATTTATGCTTTTTTTTAACAATGAAGTTTTCTACATGTCAGTGAGTAAAATATAGTTCAAAAGACAACCTGTATGAAAGTATAGTTGATTTCTGAAAAGTTGTATTGACCGCCTCATCTGTTTATACAGCGCCACTAATATAACTAATATTTGTAGCAGTTGTATTTACTCGACAAACTTAACTCTACGTACTAAAATCAGAATATATCGATATGAAACGCCATCGAATTCTAATGACATGGAAACAGATTCCAACTGTAATATGGGTTGACTTTAAACTAATAGATTTTACCTTTATTTTACAATTTGACATATCGTAGGGAAACTTATGTTACCACTTATGGGATTATTTCTAAGTAATAACGAAAGAATGGAGAAAAAGCACGTTTGGAAGGAGAGATACAAGCTATCACAATATCACGTAATATTAGTCACAAAGTACAAAGTCATTTCCCAAACGATGATCTTTCTCATCAACTAGGGTTGTTGGTTTCTAGTATACTACTACCACTAAGGTATAGTTTTTGCTTACGGACTAATAATGTAAAGTTCTTTAACTCTGCAAGTTACCTATACCTTTCGTGGTTCAGTCGGCTTATATTAATCCTTCAACTAAAATCCGCCACTAACAAGCAATTCGCCCATGATCAGCAGCCCTTCATCATTAAAGAGAATAAATAACTGATTTTCCCTATTAAGTAGCCAAATAAGAGTTACTCAAACACTAGTGAAAACCTAGACGGGTGTAAAGGGTATTCTTATCTAAATAATAATGTGTATAAATGAGCGTTAGCATTTTTAGACCATTCATATTTTTTTTGGAGTAAATAAAATTTGCCTAGAGTTTTTTAGTTGGTTCATATCTTAAGAAAAAGTATGTCAGTAAACAATCTATTGACACTACTTGAGTATTAATATATTGAAGTCCAATGAACTATAATCCTTGACGGCTGACACAAACAAAACATTCCATGACCATTTCATTTCTTTACGTCATCCAAAATGTAAACAAATGGATTTTTTTTCCACAGGTTTATTCAATTATATTGATTTCTAGGTAGAATCAAATCCAACTAGAATAAGTCATTTGGTGATTAAAGTGAAATAAAAATCTGGTCAGCAGCCGATCCTCGTAGCTCAACTGGTACAGCATCGAGCGGTAACCCAATGGTCGCTGGTCCAAATCCCACTGTGGTCCAAATTCTCATTTCACCCTCAATTATCAACCAGTAACAATACTAGTCTCCTAAACCACGGTTATCTTAGATAGTCAAAAATCATGATGTCATCTGTTAAATTCTTATCTATCCTTTATTTCTCATTAAGTTAGATGCAATTAGATATTATTTTCAGTTAAGTTTCATAGTTCGCTTAATTCATTAGCACAAATATATAACCTTACGGTTTCTTATTATCGTTAATCGTTATTCATATCCATTCAAATTCTATGCATTAGTTGGTTATGCTAACTAACTAGTTTATTCTACCCTAAGTAGCCCCTGAAGACCTTTAATCTCCAATCATCAGGTAAGTTACTTGTATGCACAAACAAGTACTAACAGAAGCCAATAGCATACTCAAAAACTCACTCATAATTTATGACCATCGAGATGAGTCACATAAGTGCATTTTCTAACCAGACTGATAACTACTCGAAATCAAACTTATATTCAACGAACTACACTGATCACCTTCAACCATGTAATAGCAAATATCCCACCCCTAAAAGGTTGATTACATGACAATCTGTATTATTATTACACTTAGGCGAACCTGTTAAACCAACTCAAAAATGTAATACTTACATTCAGTAATTTTGGTCAAACGATTCTTTGACAAATCCAAAGTTCTCAGTTGTGTAAGATTACCAATACAATCTGGAATGGGTCCCTGTAATTGATTACTTTTCACTACTAAAGTTTGCAAATGCTTGATTTTATTCAAAGAAACCAAATAGGAAGATGTTACAGTTAAAAATGATTAAAAATATAAGTAACATATTGGTTATTTCTTTTAGTATTAGAAAATGAACCAATGAATACGGTATTCAAAAAGTAAACTTTTCGAATGATCAGATGTACAGAAGTGATGTTAATATCGCTCAAGGTTTTCTATCATGTCAAAATATAGAAAGAAGACAAAGTTAATTTATACAAATATTACTTCTTTTATATAACCTGTGATCAAGATTTGATCGTGTAGTATTGCAAATATTAGGCGCTGAGTAAAAGGTTGATATTAGATATAGATTGTGTTTGTGTAAGTCACAGTGGGTTTTAAATCAAATAATTCCAACTTTTCTCATGGAAGTCTGGTCCGAGCTTTTTCAGGGAAATAATCAAAATTAAAATATCAAGGATATATAAATGAATTTTAAAGAAAAACTTGTATTTATTCTCCTTGTCCAATCCTCTTCGTATAGTCATTGTCTTTTTAAATTACAATTACTAATCATTCAGTGTGAAATTGTATGTCACTTGTTGTATGACGTGTGGATGTGTGTACTCCAATTCATATTCGTCTTGATTGTAAATATCAGACAAAAAGTTCACATGTTACATTATAGTCATTCTGTAATTATTTCCTTTCTGAGAAAATCTTTCCCCTGCATCCATATGTAGAGTGATTGCTTCCTTTAGTACTATACAACAAAGCCAATAGATTGGTTCACTATCAACCAACAAGCATAAGTTATTAACATTTCTCTTAAAAAGAAACCTGGAAGACTGGAGATCACAGCATTCAAAAACATTGAAATAACAAATGTCAAACTAACATCCATTGATAAGACATTTATTGGTTGATTATCGATTCATTTGCAAGATATGTTATTAGTGCAGGTTATTATTATTATTTGTCCCTTGGGTTACTAATGGAACATAGGGCTTCAGAAGCACGTCTACATTCCACTCTGTTCTATGAAATCTTTCGAACCTGGCTCCACGACAGCCCACAAGCTCATTTCCTCCTCGCACGATCTCCTCCATGTCACCCTCACCTCGGACACCCAACTCGTCGTTTCCTATCAGGGTTCCACTCGAGGGTGTGGCCTGACGCGTGATGTCCCCAGTCGGCCTTCTCAGTGTATGCCCAATCCATCTCAACTTCCTTCCAGTGCATATTTGTTGATCGATAGCTTCTTGGTTGGTTCGTTGCCAGTCAGCCAGAGTTCCTTGTTGCTGATTCTTTCAGGCAATCCATCTGATCTTCAGTAGCGAGCCAGTGTAGGCAGTTGTTGATGAATGTCTGTAGTTTATTGGAAATCCCTTTCGCAACGCCCCAAGTCTCTGAACCATACATGAACATTGACTTGACGGTGGTGTTGAAAATCCGGATCTGGTTCACACTGTATGCTGAGTGCAGAAGATCTCCACACTGGTTTCAGGCTAATGAAAGCCTGTCTTGCTTTTCCGATCCTGACTTTGACATCCTCGTCTGTGCCACCGGTAGTTGAAACAGTGTTTCCTAGATAGGTGAAGGAGGTTACTTCCTTTAAGTTTCTCCCGTTGATGGTGATTGGGGCTTGTTGTTGGTTGGGTAATTAGTGTAGGTTACAGAGGAATAATTTGGTTGGAACCGTGTTTTCAAAACAGACTTTTTTCTAGGTATATCAGTTGTAGGTATATATATGTAAATGTGAAGTTAGTTTGATATCACTACCATATTCTAGGTTGATTTCCACAAAAGATTATTTAAAATACTAGTTGGAGATCAATGATAATTGTAAATTCGTTTAAAGTTATAACTCCATGTATAATAGTTACCTAGACTTTTCTTGCTATCTTCAGCATTTTATCCCTTGCCATTCCGAATGTAAACAATAGAAAAACTTACTATTTCTTTTTTAACAAACTATTCATTGATCTGTTTCCACTACTATTTCGTTGAAAAGCTCTCACGATTTGTCTTCTAACTTTAGTTAGTGTAGAAATCTTTAAAAATTGAAGTTGCAGTCTCTATCTGACATATTTAGATCGCGTCATAAAAGTAGGTTCTTCATATAATTCACTTCTAGGAGGTAGAAACAAAGTTGTCAAGATTCTAATCGCTTCATTTTCTTCTTCTTATATATTTTATAAAACAGACACCATTAGAGTTGTGGACAGGATAACCATTAATAAACACAATCTGTAAAAATGTCCAGTCACCATTCATCTGATACTCTTTAAAAACTGGGCAAAAACAAAGTATCAACAGAGAAATACTAGGGAAAAGTGTTAAATATGAGTGATGCTTACAGTTGGGACACTTGTTTTATTGAAATTATTCAAAGATTTCAGGTTTGATGATCTTAAACAATCATCGAAAGCTATATGGTATTTCATATCACTCAGTGTGATATTTAAAGATGTTTCTACTAAGCTCTGTAGTATAAGTTTCCATTTCTGACGGAGTATAAAATTCTTCATGGCTTTAGATCTTCCGTATTGATAAATTATAAAAAGAATAAAATCTAAATTTATAGTCTTTTATCGGCTAAATACTCTTCTTAGATTTTAAGACAATTTATTTTGATGTTACTTCGTTCAACCTGGTGCATACATTTCACTTCACTGATAGGAATCTGTTAACATTTACGATTGAACGTAACACTAATCACGATTTAGTTTTCATTGAGTAAAATTATATTACTTAATCTGGTTATGTTAACCGAAGCAAGACTACTTTGAAGTATATGATAGAATTTTGAAAACAGAAGTCATTTAAGCTTATTGTTATAAGGTTGGAATTGATCACGAATTGATATTAGTTGCATGAACATTGGAAAACTGAGAGTGCTGGACAGTTGTTTCTTTCTAGAACGAAACTCCTCAGCGGTAGGCACCAGTGGCCCCACCAGGGATCAAATTCAGGACCTTCAGGTTCCACAGCCTGCATGTCAACATTGACCCACTGGATCGGAATCCATTGGCCCCTATTTCCTACTTCTGACAGTTCACAATTTGGCGTGACCCTTACCCACTGTCATTGTTGAGTAACTGTCCTCGTATTTGACTTCGTTGGCTCTACTGGTCATGACTTCTCATTGGAACTTCGAGAATCATCTTCAAAGCTTATCACTAATAGGCTCTAGATTTTGACCCAGCGGTTCAATGGTAAAATGCAGGCCGCGGGAGCTGAAGGTCTTGGGTTCAATCTCTGGTGGGATTATGGGTGCACAACACCGAGGATGAAACAGTTTTTAAGTGCTCCTAGGTTCCTAATGTTCCTCCAACTGACGTTAGTCCATGATGAACTCCAACCCTATGTCAAATAATAAACCTCCGCAAACCTCCAGATTGAATTACGCTTATTGTGTTAGTGTCTATGTCACTACCTAATTAAACGGATCATGAACAAGCTTAGAATCAACAACATAACACCTAAAATCCAACTAAGCAGCCCAATGAATTACAATTCAATAAGTTTAGGCTTTCATGTAAATCAAGTAACCTGATCTTTTTTAGTGATATGATGTTCATCACTAAGTATAAGGAGATTTTACTCATCCTAGAACAAAGAATTCGAAGTTGTGCAAATAAGTAAATGAAAGGCAATAGCATCATACATTTAGTCAAACATGATATAGCTGCGTAAAGCATAATAAAATCTTCCAATAAGCAGCAATTACTCACCTAAAGTTTGTCACAATTTATTGTTTTACAATATTATACCCTATCAATTATTCTCTCTTGTTCAATAGCGTGGGTAAAACAACTGTAAGCTTCCGTATACTAGACTTTTTGTAATTTCTAATACTTTTTATAAACGTCCGGACACTTACTATGATTCAGGCGGTAGATAAGCTGAAAAGTGGCCAGTAGCTACATCGTAAGATCACTTGCATTTGACCCCCAGTTAGATATCCAACAAAACAAAACTTTTAATGTACAGCAGTTTAAGACAACTTCTGGAGCACCTGAATATGATGGGCTCGTACCACTAGGTCAAGTTAACTATCTCCTGCATAAGCTATTAATTATCAGACCAGTAAATCCATAACTGCAATCCTTCAGTAGTTCTGATTAAATAATCTTACACAGTACTCAGTCTTGATTTATGATCTGATTCACTGATTTTTGATAAGGAGGCAAGAATGTAACACAGAAATGCACAAAGATAGTTCTGTCAAAAAAAGCAACTTCCGTCTAGGGCTTAGACCAATAATAATACCACAGTATTATTGCAAGACCGAAGCTACTGGACCAAACAAGACCAGTTATTTATGCTAAAGTAAATCATTTAGGAACTTGTGAATAAATTATACTATTCCAGTTTCGAAAAGCATCTCTCCAAAGACTGAACTGGTCAAAACAGTATTGAAAGGCCAATAAATATGACCTCCACTGCCAACAAACCTTGGACACTGTTCATAAGCTTCCATTATTCGACAATCAGCCAAATGGAAAATAAGTTGTAGATCTCTCAAAGAATGATACATAAAAATAACAGCTATTAATCCTACTCTTGTTTATTCATAGGTGAATTTAAAATTTATGCAAAAGTTATTTTTAAAATGCATTTGTCTCATGTATGAATGAAAAAGTCAGGCGTTCATCAAGCTGTCATCATTTGTACAAATAAAGAAATGTACCAACATATGGTCAAAGTAATAGATTGATAATACCATGCTGTAACGAGGCAAAGTTCGACAAACAAAAAATTCGGAAGGAGAAATGGAGGCGCAACGACAAAATATGTAAAGAAATATTTTACAAACATATCTGTATCATTGTAACTAACCATAGGCAACATTGATCAAACGTTACAGCTGAGAACTATGAATTTCTAACCAACAAATTATGATCTGTAGTTAAAAGTTCTCTTAAAGTTCATGACAGTGATTAGTGAGTGGTGTCTATGTAAGCCTGGAAAATGACCAACTAGCTATAAATGAAAGAGTTGTATCTTATTTGCTGAAACCAACGATGACGAGCACAACTTCAACTTGAATCTATGAGCTTCTTGTTTTACAAGGAAATAAATCTACATACGCTGCTGGAATATAGAAGCGCTTACTGAATTCTAAACAGATGGCTAAGACTAAGTGCATTTAATAATTACTAGCTGAAAAATATGAGAAAATTTACTCAGTTTCATCCGCTTTTAATTAAATGTTTGGGCTTGAAGTCGACAGTCTGTCAGAAGTAATCCTGAAAAAGATCACTTAATTTACTTTAAAGAAAGAAGACATCTGCATATCAATCCAACCATGAAATCATAGCTAGAAGGATTCTTGAGTTCCTGGATTCCTTTTTACTAAATATTTTACTCCTTAGCTAGCTTATAATGAATGGCATCCAAGCATCCATGCACGATGGTCGGTCCAGCTAATTTGACTTGAATAGCGAAATATTACCGTAAAAGTTTACACACAAAAGCTTTGACCAGTGACTTGACATTTAAGTAGCTGATTGGCCTAATGTTCTTATCAATGGCCTTAGACTGAAACAAAAGACCAGAGTGTAGTATAAAAATTTATCTTACGTCTACTAATGTTCAATATTCAACAGACACTTCTAAAAACAGACCTTTTGACATATAAATCACTTGAATCTCAGAAAATTATATAGTAGTCGTAGTGCGAAATATTTGGTGCAGAAGAGTGCCGTATGATAAATAAGCAAGAATAACTATAACAGTAATTTTCTGACGCCATATTACTTTCCCGATCGCAAAATGAAACCAGCAGGAAAGGTTCTCAAACAACTTGCCAGTAAACATTAAGCTTTTGTCGTCAAATGATTCTAGTTCGCTCACAGAATAGCAATATAAGCTCTGTAAATACCACTTTCTGTTTTCATTTCTAAAGCATGAGTCGCAAAGGTATCTGAACTAAATGAATGGAAATTCCCAGGTCAGAACCCACTGACAAAAATATCACAAACATTGATAATCTATATGATGAAAATGTCAATAACTAAAGCTACCTCAGTAGCGATACATTTTATGCTAACATCAAATAGCTTATCATTTCGTAATTAATCAGAATTTTACTGAAATGCGACAATTGATCTACTAAAATGACTACGAATAGTGATTATCGGTCACAGATTGCTTGCATATGTTAACACAAGGCTTCCATCTTGGTTTCTGTTCCGTTAAAAGTGAGTCAAATTCTAAATGTGCTGTACGCAAAGCTTCATGCCAAGATCTAAAGTGATTTCAAACTCATTCTTCCTAGTCTCGTGGTAGAAATTAACACAGCAATACAACATATCACTATTTGGCCTAACATCTCAGATTACTTGAGACCTAAGTTTAACCAAGAGAAATTATGGAAGCGATATGATTTAAAGGCTTTCAAAACCCATGAAAATACTTACTTCTTTTTTGTTTGGCATTGGCAAACATTGGAGAACAGATGACTTTCCCAATGCGCTGGAATCTTAAGTCTCCTTGCATCTCAACAGTTGTTACTCTTTGAATCAACTTACTTCACACAAAACATTCTGAATTTTTTCCTCGCTGAATATTTATTATTCTATCTCGTTCCTCAGTATAAGTTTCCAAATTCAATCGCTTTGAATCTTTAACTGCTGTTAAGAAGTTTATTTGTCTTCCGGCTAGTGATTCAAATGCAGTCACAACAGCTGTACACCATAACTGAAACCAAACCACTCCATAACTTCAGGAAAACGCTAAAACCTTACTTAAAACTTCTGTAACTGAAAGGCTAAGTATAACTATTTAGAAAGCAAATTTGCATTTTAAGCAGACACTTAAAGTCTTTTTTTGCAATGTGAACAACAAGGTTTCATATAAACCCCGTAAAAGAAAAACTCAGTCACCACTTAAATTTCTATGGCCATGAGAAAATTCTAACTCTAAAGTCACTTGTATTGCAAATTGTTGCCAATGTCCTTTTATACTTGGTCAGAGAAAAATCATGTATAACCAAGGTTCAACCTTAGTTATTAAGTTACGTAGGTAAAAACTTTTATGCAACCACATGGACTCATAGGCCAATCTTTATATCCAGAACTAAGTAATTAGGCTCAAAGCACATGAAAGTGCTAGGCTACTCATAATTAAATCAATTATTTTTGTCCAAAGAAAACAAAAGTTTTCATATACCTACACATAAATTACCGACGGTGGAAATATCGGTCAACTTGTTGTAGGTCAAATAAAGCTGCTTCATGAACATGAGCTTTGACAGGACAAATGGAATGCATCCATCAAGTCGGTTGTGTCTAATATCAAGATGAGTTAGTTTTGAACAACACCCAAGTTCGTCTGGTAGAATTGTCAAAGAGTTTTCTTGCAGCCATAACTGTAAAGAAAGCTTAAGATGAATAACACCATACTCTCTGAAGATTGCTTAGGTGTCCAATTTCAGGAGGTAGCTGTGTCAATTTGTTGTCATACAAAAAAAGTTCTATTAGGTCATTAAGATTTCCAATACCAGGAGACACACTGATAAGGCCCATAGAGGATAAATCCAAAATAAGCCGACCTTTAGAATCGGAAATCAGCTTACTTCCATCCTAAGATGTTGAATATTAAAAACTACAAACAAACTGATAAAGTGTGTTTCTTTGACTTCGTCAAACTGATAATTTTTCCACTATCATCCTGCAAAAAAACTCCTTTTTTCAAGGTTGGCGTGGTAGAAGATCCTGAAACGATAGGATTTTGTGATACACATGGCTCTGAATTCAAGACAGGATGTGAGCCTGTACCTTAACATGTAAAATTATAGTACGCCGAACTAGTATTACTTCTAATATATGTTTTCAGAGATTTGTATTGCTTGTTAAAAAAATCTTTGCTAATCGGTTTTGATTTGCCCTCAATCGAGGTGCATGAACGCTGTCTCTAACTAATAAACAAAGGGTAAAAGCACCATACCGGCATACTATAGTCAAGTTATCACTTTCAGATGACCTTCAAAGTAAATAGACGTGAACGAAAAAAACAAAGTTTGTTTTCCTGGATTACTTTCGCAAAGAATTCTCCGTCCTCCAATATCCAATATCTTTTTACGAGTTAATGTTAATCGACTGATTTCTTCGCGCTTGCTTCTAGGTTTTGCGGAACGGTTCCAGGTTTTCGGTGGATTCCGATGCAGTATGTCTACCCACTGGACTACTGTAGCTCTGGTTAGCCCGATGGAGGGCTATGTGCCGGCCTAATTTGTAGGAATTGTTGTTATTTGTTTGTTTGTCTTCCAAGAACTGCCAATACCCAATAATAATAGTGCGAGCGTAGAAAACTGATCGTTTTTGATCTCTCGCGTCTAGTTCTTAGGGCTTGGTCCGAGTTGTTAGGTTGACTCTTGCAGTGGACGAGGAAATCCCCTCTGCTTTCTTGCATTTAGCCTCGGTGGGGTGGATGTTTTGTGGAGTGACTGGGGAGCTACGGGTCGCTGGGACGTTTAGGGAACTGTCTTGAGTAGGTGTCTGGAAGAGAATAGTAAGGTAGTGGTAAAAGAATGAAGAAGAAAGAGAAACAAGAAGGAAAATAAAGAAGAAAGGAGAGAGAAAAGAAAATAAGGGAAGAGAAAAAGGAAAGAAGGGAAGAGGAAAAGGGGGTGAAAAAGAGAAGTAAGAGAGAGGGAAAAAGGTGTTTGGGGATTGCCCGAATGATAGCGTGGGTTTGGTTCCCACAGAAGAATTAGCAGGTTATGTGGGTGTATCAAGGAGAGAGTGAGTGGTAGGTAGGAGGGAGTTGGGGCTGGTGAGGTTGGTGACTACCTGAGTACGTCCGTGGTAGACCATGCAAGTCGCCGTAACTGTCTAATCGTCTCTTGAATGAGTTGACTGAGGGAGCTATAACGATATGTTGCGGTAAAACACCCCATAAGGCACATAATCTCAGGGAGAAAAATCTGGGCCTGAATATTATATTGGCTCTCCGGTGTGCTATCTTAATGGGGTTTCCTTGTGAAGACCGCTGGGTTGCAGGCAAAACTGATTTGTTTGCGTGGTCTGCCTGATGGGCGATCTCGTATGCCATAATAAGGCCATCTCTCTTCCTGCGATAACTCAAGGTAAATAGGTTTAAATGTTTGAGTCTTTCAGGATACGTCTGTCCCCATAGTCCCGCAAGTGATTTTGTTACGGTTCTTTGTATTTTTTTCAAGGAGATTAGTCTCTCTTGAGCGTTGGGGGGCCACTACACTGAAGACCCCTAGATGCGGCCGCACGTGGGATTTGAAAACGGCGAGGAAGAGTTTGAGAGTGAGAGCACCAAGCTATCTACGCAAAAAGTGTGGAATGGCATTCGCTCTGGTTGTCACACCTTTGTAGTTGGAGCTGGTGTCCAGGGTGTCGGAGAAGTTGAGCCCCGAATCTTTCCCTATGGACACTGGTGATAGCACGGTCGCTCGACATGTACTGAAAGTTGGTCGTGCTTGCTTCATTTTTACTGATATGCATAACTCTGCACTTTTCTAGGTTGAAGCTCAGGCCATTTTCCGGCGACCATAGTTCAAGTTGCTGCAAGTCATCTCGTAGTGCCCTACAGTCAGCTTCTTCGCTTACCGCCCTTCAAATTTTAATGTCATCAGAGGAGGGGAGGATGGGCGAGGATATTTTGTCTGGCAGATCGTTGACAAACAAGAGGAACAGAAGTGGTCCTGGGGTTGCTCCCTGGAATACTCCTGATGTCGAGGGTCTCCACACCGACCTTACCCTGTTTACTTTGGTGCAGAACTGCCTCTTTTCTAGATATTCCTTGAACCAAGAGAGCAGGGGTCCACTTACACTAATAGACATGATCTTGTGAAGCAGGACTGTGGGTGGGACACCCTCAGATGCTTTGACCGCGTCGAGAAATACAACATGTACCGGTTTTCTGTTATCTCAGCTTAGTGTACAGTCGTCAAGGTGGTTAGTAAGTTGGCGACACATGAGCGACCACTCAGAAATCCATGCTAAGCAGTATGCTCAGTGCTTTCCCTCTTGAGGAATTCCCAGACAGTGTCAGCTACCAGGCTTTCTCACACCTTTGATACAATAGGGAGGAGAGCAATTGGCCTGTAGCTGCCAGGGCTTTCTCTGTCTTCTCCCTTATAGATTGGTGACACGATAGAACTCTTCCATTCCTTAGGGAGTTTGCACGACTCAACTGAGTGCTTGAAGAGGTTGCAGAGTGGTTTTGTAAGCACATGGGCGCGGATTTTTAATCACTGGTCTTAAGTTATCGCAGCCAGAGGACTTGCCTGGACGTAGCCTGGATAGTTTCTGGAACACTCTTTCTCTGTGATTTGGATGTGGCTGAGGCATTAGTTATTTATGCCCTGGTCGGTGTGGATTTTGTGTCGGTGCTAAGTTGGGCTCCGAAGTGTGAGCTCAAGAGCTCCGCAGTCTCTACACTGCCTAGTACGCTGCCATCATGACCTGTGACGAAATTCACTGCCTCACTGGTCGACTACCTTTTCGCCATGAAGCGTTTCACGTTTTGGGGACTGCTTTGTAACCTCTCCCCTGGGTTTGTTTGATAGTAGAAGCTGTCGCTACGCACCCTAATATTTCGGCGGTTGCGAGTTCTTTTGCAGTTCAAAAAATCAGACTCCCTGCGTGATGAACGCCGCTTGAACCGCGGTGCAGATAGGTTTATCAAATGTCGTACCAGCAGACAACTGGTCAAACTGGTTGTAGAAAGGAGATGGAAAATAAGTCTGAGAGACCAAACTTCAAGGGACAGAAAGCGCAAAGAAAAACACACAGAAAAGAAAAAGATGATTGGGAAAAAGAAAACGTAAAGTCAGCAAGAAGAGGGGTGAATAACATCATAGGATGGACGGGAATAGAGACAGTAATTCTATTAGTAGGAACGGTAACTGGAGAGGATGTCTGTACGGAAGGTTGAGCCAAGTTCTCAGTGATAGTGGTGTTACAACGTATTCGATAATGGGTCCGCCGTACTGAGTTAGTAGGTTGTGTCAGCCTAGTCCACACCCCAGCTGAGTGATCGCAAATCATGCGTTGCTGCGCTGCTGTCCCGCCTCTTCTTGAAGCTGTCAACAGACGGAGCAGTAGCATCTCAGCAGGCAATGCTTTCCCGTAACCCCAAACTCGCAGAGAGAAGTGGCGTGGCAGCACACGGGTTTTCGCTCTTTGTTGAGCGGTTCTCCATGGGTTGCCAAGAGGATCGCCGTAGTGACCGTTCGGCGGCATCCCACTGTCCGGATGACTTGGGTAGCATTTCGTAACCTACGTAATCTACGGTAGCTTAGAGAGTAGAGTCCTAGACGTTTCAACCTATCCTCATAAGTTTTTCGCTTCATTCGTACGACAACCTTTGTAGCTCTCCTTTGGACTTTCTCTGGGAGGTTTGTAGTGCCCAGTAAACATGGTTATGACTTCTGGTTGTTGTAAGATTTACATTCACTATTGACTGCAATTGAATGATGAACAACTTTTAATGTACTCGTGAGGTTATGCCCACTGGGCTTGCCCGCTAGAGTGCTTGGAATAAACGCGTGATACTTCTACTACTGCCTTCTTATTTGCTACGTTGTGGTTGTCTAAAACAAATCGTTCATAGCGTTAGTCATAAGCCCATGAGTCCAACACTGATGAGCCCGACAACGTGTAATCTTTGCAGTTATTCATTTTAGTTGTTTATCAATTAATTTTGATTTTGTTTTAAAAAAGGATGTCTAACCTCATTGATTTTGATCCCCATACTGCCAGTGAGTCCGTTCCACTGGAGGCCGACACTCTTGTCGCTACTAAGATTAGATTACCGGCCTTCGATAAGCACGACCCAGAACTACGGTTCTTCCAGCTGAAGCATTTCTTTCAGCGACGCAGTATAAAGTCAGAGAAACTGAGGTACAAGGGCTTGTGATCAGTTCCTCCTCTCTCAGCCAGTAAAGAGGTCCGTGATCTTATGATCAATACCCCTGAAGAGGACCTGTATTTCACGCTCAAGCTTGTGATAATAAACCGTCTATCAATGTCAGACAGCCGATGCACGTAACGTCCGTTACAAGAGGGGTGTTGGGAGATAGATCCCCATCACGGTTTTTGCGACACTTTCAAAAGACAGTGGAAGAAAATGCGGTCGGAGAAGCCATCATCAAGGAAGGTTGGATACAGGTACCGCCGCATCATGTCCAGTGTGCGCATGACGCACAGGACACGAAAACCGCACTTGCAGAGTTGGCTCAAGTTTCCGATCGCATTATGGAGAGAGGAACAGCCGCTTATCACTGCATACTAGACCTAGCTCATCTAAAGACGCTTTCACTGAATTAGTGTCAAGCGTGAAATAGCTAACAGAAGCGGTGGCTCAAGTTCAACTGAGTTAAAGTCAAAGAGGCAAGTCAGCACTCAGACGCAGATTACAAAGTAGACCCAGACACTCGACGCCATCCGGACAATTCTGTCGGTATCACTGGAAATACGGCGCACCATCTAAACGATGTAAGGAACTATGCGCCTGGCCTAAGCAACGCCCTGGCAAACAGGGAAACAGAAGATCCCTTCTCAGACGTAGACTGCTGAAGAGGGGTGCTCAAACAGTCGCCCGTTCTACGTCACAGACAGAAATTCTGGCAGAGAATTCTGGGTGGACACGGGAGCCTCTCCTAGTGTTCTTCCGCGAAACAAGATCGAGCTCGGACACCAAATGCCCACAGTTACGCTACGAGCCGCCAATAAAACATAAATAGTGACGTCCCCGATCTTGGGTTCAAACCGCAATTCCATCAGGTGTTCACCATAGCATATCTGGACTTCGCAATACTGGGTATAGATTTTTGGAGAGGTGTGAATTCTTAATAGGCACAAAGAAACGAAGGGTGACGTTGAAAGAAACTTCCAGATACTCAATAGGCAAGGCCAGCACAATCACATTCCCTGACCTGGTACAATCTCCTTCGATATCAACCAAAAGGTTTAGAAATATATTGGCGGATTTTCCGGACCTGACGCCATCCAACG